CCAGCTTGCCGAACGATGAGAACAGGGGTAGCGTGTCGCAGCGTAGCCAAACGCTATCACGGCGGTCGTCCTTGTGCTCGGAGATCCAATCCAACTTTTCAGCCGTTGAGATCGGGGTAGCGGGTCCCAGAGCAGCAAAACGTTGAGCACAGGGGTCTGATCCGGCGTGCCAAACGTAGGATATCGTATCCCGAAGCTGCCAACCACTGTTAAGAATTTGCTCTGTCGCGATGGTAGCGGTGGCGAAGAGCGGCGAGCCGTCGAGCGGACTTCGATGAAGCCTTAGCCCGAAGGTGAAACAGGGAGGCGATCCGTTTGGAAAACAGCAACAAAAGTAGCGTTTACTGTAGCAGGTTGTCGTTTTACAGAGCCGGCCAGCACGACAACGTCGGCTGGGGCAAAATCTCCTAACATGGGGCCGGCTCGGCCTTAAATAGCGTCTTTGGTCCATTCTCTCAGACCAGTTCTCGGGCTCGGAGGGGGAGGACGTAGCCATACCCGGAACTGCAAAGTGGTTCGGCGGAGGAAACGACGTTATCCCCGGACTGCACGGTTCTCCTGCACAGAAGGCGGCGCTGGGAGGGGGGGGGGGGAGACAGTTCGTCGAAACAGGGCTCGATCTTGTGAGACGTGCTCCCGAACGAGGAACATGTCTGTGGCACAACAGCTTCCTATGGGTATCTCAGATGATATGAGTGCAGCTGGTCGGTGATTAAAGAAGTGCCGAATATAGTTATATTTTCGAGTTCAGAGATGTAAGGCGTTATTGCACTGCGTGTAACTTTATCGAATGCTTTCTTTAGACCTAAACCCGGTATAGCTTTGGTTGAGCGGTTCGTGGTGTATCTGATTTGGTGCTTCAATTGAAGCATAGTGTCATGGCATGAAATGTGCCTTGAGCGAGAGAACGTCATTGTCTTCAAGGTAATCTGTTGGTCGAGCTAAGAAGGCGGGCTCTTTGAGTTTGTCAACGCAGGAAATTAGAAAGGTGGGTCTCAGGTTGTGAATGTTCAGTGGCTTCCTCTGTTTGGGAATGCGGGAATTTTTTTTTGAACACACGATTATCTAAATACTCCACCTTTCGAAGGCGACAGCTTTAACAGCTCGTTTTACCGGAATTCTGGTGTCGGCGTCGTTAGTTGTCAATGAAAAAATAACAGCATGTCCACGGAGTGAATGATAATAAGTCAGGCGAAGCGTCCATCTGTCCATCCGTGATTCAGTCCGCCTGTGTGTGCGTCCATCCATCCGTCCGTGTGCCCGCCCACGCGTTCGTCCGTCCATCTGTCCGCCCATACGTCTGTCTGTATTGTGGTGCGTCCATCTGTCCAAATGTCCGTCCATCTTTCTGTCAGTCTGTCTACCGTCTCTCTGTATTTTTGTATGTCAGTCGGTCTGTCTGTCTGTCCATCTGTCCGTTCATCTAGTGAACACTCAAAGTACCGCCATCTCGCATCTTTCCTACATATATTTGTCATACACAAAATAGGCAGATCCAACGTACAGTGATGATCGACGATATGCGAAGCAGGAATGAGGAAGGTTGATGTGTCACTTTAAGATCAGCACAAAGTTACGAGGTGGAAGTATATTATGCTATACATAATTTTCTTGTCATAATTATCATGTTTGGATGTGTAGTTTACGTTCGTCATCTATTCAGTGTAGTGTATGTGGATCTACTTCGTCATCCATTGACGTCTCGTAACACCAAAGTTGGTATATGTGGAGCTAGCAAAATGGCCGCGAGCGCATGATGGAGGGCGCGATATATTCCAACGTAGCGTTGACGCGCGCGCACGCAGGGCACATCGACGCAGCGTTGGTAAAACGCAAGCACTCGATAGTCTGAAGCCAGGCGCGACCAGCGTCTGGCGTCAGACTATCGTATCATCATCATCATCAGCCTGACTACGTCCACTGCAGGACAAAGGCCTCTCCCATGTTCCGCCAGTTAACCCGGTCCTGTGCTTGCTGCTGCCAATTTATACCCGCAAACTTCTTAATCTCATCTGCCCACCTAACCCTCTGTCTCCCCCTAACCCGCTTCCCTTCTCTGGGAATCCAGTCAGTTACCCTTAATGACCAGCGGTTATCCTGTCTACGCGCTACATGCCCTGCCCATGTCCATTTCTTCTTCTTGATTTCAGCTATGATATCCTTAACCCCCGTTTGTTCCCTAATCCACTCTGCTCTCTTCTTGTCTCTTAAGGTTACACCTACTATTTTTCTTTCCATTGCTCGCTGCGTCGTCCTCAATTAAGCTGAACCCTCTTTGTAAGTCTCCAGGTTTCTGCTCCGTAGCTAAGTACCGGCAAGATACAGCTGTTATATACCTTCCTCTTGAGGGATAGTGGCAATCTACCTGTCATAATTTGAGAGTGCTTGCCGAATGTGCTCCACCCCATTCTTATTCTTCTAGTTACTTCAATCTCGTGGCTCGGCTCTGCGGTTATTACCTGCCCTAAGTAGACATAGTCTTTTACAACTTCAAGTGCACTGTTACCTATCTCGAAGCGCTGCTTCTTGCCAAAGTTGTTGTACATTACTTTCGTTTTCTGCAGATTAATTTTAAGACCCACCTTTCTGCTCTCCTTGTCTAACTCCGTAATCATGAGTTGCAGACTATCGTATACGTATACGTAAACATATACGTATACGTATACTTAAACAAACGTGACTGTGAGTACTTCGCCGCGTTCGAGCCGCCTCTAACATGGCGGTATGCATACGACGGCCAACAGATCGCAGCAATTTCTCATAAAGTCTATACCATGAATTCATGTCACTGCTTAGATCACCTTCCGAAAAAAAAACACACTCTATATAGGATTATGTAGTGCAAGGAATCTCGTTAGCGCATGCGATATTGCATGGATGGATCCTGCAATGGTAGCAGGCGTCAAAACATCTGAATTGCGCAAAGTAAGGAGGGAGGGAAGTAAACTTCCCACCTGGAACAAATGGTGCAGCTCCACAGGTGCACGGGACACTTCACGTAGGGGTAGTGGGTACTTCACGGAATGGCAAATTAAAGCATTATAACGTAATGCGCACTCAGAACCTCCACGTCCAGCAAATTCTCTAGGATAAGTCGAAACAGCCAAGTGTTAAGCACACAGACGTTTATTTCTTAGGCGGCATGTTTGAAGGACAATGTACACCGCGCCTGATCACACCATAGCGTTTCGCTCATGAAGGCGAAGCTTAAAAGCGCCCTCGAAGTTCTTTTGAAGCTACCCTGTTGATAAGTCAGTGAACTTAAATTTCCGCAAGCAGTGAAAATAGAGACACTCTTGCGCAAACGATATCGTAATGCGCACAAAGGTGATGTCTTTTTCTGTAGCGATCCCATTTCATTGTCATAGGAGCTCCAGAAGTGATATTTAATTGGATATCGTAATATCTACAGGGTATCTTTGAAATCGAAAAAATGTTTTTAGAAGTATGGTGCTTAAGCCAACGTAAACAGAATGTTTATAGTGAGGCATTATTGCCATATATACCTCTTCGTCTTTTAGTGACCGTGTCTGCAGCTGCTTCCTTTGCGGTACAATTGACCAACCGATCTATGCAAAGAGAAAAGGTCTGTTTGTCCGAACCCTGGCCTTTGACGAGCTGACTACTAGGTTGATACGGCTCGCATACTTCTTGCGCATAAACGTAATCTTTTTTCTTCATTGCTCTGATCCTGATCTTATGGCGGTTCCGTGAAATGTTGCATCGAGACATGACCAAGGTCGACAATAAGCGTTTCGGGACGATCTCAATTTAGATTAGCTCACCTTACAGAGCTTCACCCGACACCGTTAGGTAGAGAGGTGGAGAGGGAAAGCAAGATGTTTGCGATGGTTGATTGCCGCTAGCCGAGAAGGCCAGGAGTCGTTACGATGGTGTTCAGAGTTAGACAAGAGAGAGGGCACTATGATAAGCTGCCTCGCTTGCTTATGGACATGCTTCTGCTTCTATGCCTGTGCGTGGGAACTCTTATATGTGCTTCTAAAGGACCTTGACTATTTGAATAAACTCCAGAACCCTATTTATTCAATGAGCATCTTGAATCTTATGCGGGGCAAGGTATATCAAACAGCAATAAACGGGGCAAATATGCAAGCAGCCGTTCAACAAAAACTTGTCTTCAGATTGCAAGATGCCTTCTGTCGAGAGGACATCGGCCTGCTTATGAGATGTGATCTTGCAGTTATTGTGAATTGCTTCACATCCTCACACTGAACAGAACCCCCAGCCTTCCCTGGGAAACACGACTTCACTGGTTCGCTAGGAAAATTTTTAATTAGGCAATAAGTGACGTACCCATATTGTTGGATTACCACACTAAAATAATAGCCCCAGATGGTTTGCTGTTATCGAGAAATTTATCCGTAAACACACACACACACATTATATATATATATATATATATATATATTGGACATATGACATGTACCAAAATATCTTTCGTTCGCTGATTCTACAATAAATGGGACGTTTTATTCCCTACAATAGAAAGATTAGGTATACAAACTGCCACCCCTTTCCCCAAGAAAATGCCACTTGGGATATGAAAGGAGCTGGCTACAACCATAGACCCGGTTCTCTACTGTTTGTGGTACAATTACTCTTATATGTACTTGCGCTGCACTCGTAGCATACCATAAGGGGGGGGGGGCAAATGAAGCCCGCTACACAGTTTCGTAAAACGTACGCTTACAAGAGAAGTGCTTTGTGCATTCAAAACATGCTTGAACCCAAAAGAAAACTGAGTACACCTTAACGGTTGTAGTCTTTGCCACGTGTGTGATTGTCTACCTTTAACGAGATATTGACAACACTCTAAATAAGTGAAAAACGAACGAGGGGACCAAGACCAATGCGTGCTCGGTGTCCCCTTGCTAGCCATTGAAAATGTATTTAGCGTGTTGTCAATATTTTTTGCATTATACAACCAACCAGCACAAACAATGGTGTTAATAATTGATTCCCTTACTTTCTATTACTAGACCTCGAGCTCTGCCACATTTTGCGTCTACAACTTAGCAAGAAATCCTGAAGCACAAGAAAGGGCACGCCAGGAGGTGCTGTCCGTTGTGGGTGAAAACTGTCAGGCTGTGGAACCTCAGCATCTCAACAACTTGCCATATGTGAAGGCTTGCCTCAAGGAATCGCTAAGGTAGGAAAGAAGTTAATGCAGTCTCTTCCGCAGGGTCTCCATACTCCTCCCGGTAGATACCTGTAGTCGCGATATATGGGCACTCAAGGAGTTGGAGCGGGAGGAATTAAGGTGTCATCCAACGTTGCATTTGAAATCAGGCCCTTAGGTGGGTGATTTTTTGAAGATAGCTTTGACATAGGTGTGAAAAAACATATGCAGATTGACGGCCAGTGTTTCTGAAATTCGGATGCCATTCTGGTATTCGGTGTTCGTCCCAAGCTTATGCTTTAAAAGTGGTGATCGTACGGGGTGCCCCAAACAACAAAAAAAAAAAGGAGCTTAGAACCAGTCGTGTACATGCAGCTCATGAATATACTGATTTCTAAAATTTTAACAAAATGTGCGAAAAAATCTTTTTTTTTGAATCTCGTTTCATATATATTTGATACACATCGTAATCATCAACCATAAATTCATTTGCGCATCGATGGCACTTCAATGGCGTAGAGACACAGAATGAAGTCTGAACTGCCGAAGATGGCTGACCGGGCTTGTTGATTTGCCATACTTTTAGGGAATGAGAGTGAAAAAAAAAGACAGGTACAATCGAAAGACCCAGACGCGCACAGTAGCGATGGTGTGTGTGCGTTCTTGTTCACGTCATTTTCATGCTGAACCCCTAATAGTATACTTAACTCCCGTTTGAAAATAGGAGAACCGGTTCTTTATGAGCGAGAAACATGAAGTAGTCATGTGCATGCTAGCGCCAACTAATATAAAACTGAGGAGTACTATATCCGGTAATATGAAGAAGAAATCTGTAGTTCTAACACTGAGATAATTTCTTTAGGTACAACAAACGTGCCCATATGTCATTTGTTGTCGTTTCCAGCCACTAATAATCTCCTTCAATGGAGATCTGAGAGTTGTCGAGAGCAAGAGTACTCTAATTAGAAGAGGACTCGCGTTGTTCCCGTCTTTAAGAAAGGCAACCATTTACTTGTAGAAAACTACTATCCCATCTCATTAAAATCGTCAATATGTAAAATGCTTGAACGCATAATATTCAAGCGCGTTGTGAAACTTCTAAAAAAACAACCCTGTACTAATTGTACTAATTACTAATTTGCAGCATGGTTTTTAAAAAGGTTTTCAACCGTACCTAAGTTAGTCCCAGTGATTCATTAATTGGCAGAAGCTCTGTATAAAAACAATCAAACGGATTTCATATTACTTCCTTTTAGCAATGAAAAATCCGTAAACAGGGATTGTGTTGAGCTGACGTTATGACAGGTAGACTTGTCTTCCTCAAGGCTGGAACAGAACAGATTTCTTCAGCGCAAGCGCGTCATCATCTCGTGCGTCATGAAAAGGATCGCACTTCTAGGGATTTCCTTTGCTTTGTAAGGGTGCCTTCTCCCCGTGAGGGAGCGCCCACGTGCCATGAGGCGGCTCGGCCCCCACGCTCTAAAGTGGCAATAAATGTTTCTATTACCATCACGTTGTACTCTCTATCCTAAGAAAGGAGGGAGAGGGCCCGGGTAACATGAGATAAGCGGGTGTGATAGAGTGGGGGAGGAAGGCTGTAACTAATTGTATGAGTAAGGAAGGAACGAACGGGTATTCCGTGAATAAAAAAGAAAATGAGGATGTGGGGGAAGGGGAGTAGAGGATGTGCACGTGCCGCGGAATTCCGGTTGTCGAACAGGTGGTCAGAAGTCAACAACGGCAGGCTTGAAATTCCTAGACCGAGGGTTTAACTTGTGGCGTATACGATTGGCCGCTCTTGTCTTCTCGCTCAGAGTCGCCAGATGGAGCGGCAGCTCGAAATCGAAACGCGAGAGGAAGTGTACCAACCGAATACATCGGTGATCTCAGAGCGCTTGGAGCAGCTATATGTAGCGCGCTTGTCGCGCCACCATGCAACCAGCGCGGGAAGCTGCCTGGTAGAAATTGCTGCGCCGCGTCAACAGTAGGCGGCGATCAGTTCAGCGGCCATCTCTGACATGTCTGACCTTTCTTTTACTCTCTCTTTCTCTGTCTTGTCAGCGTGTATTGAAAGCCTTCTGAGCTGTGCACATAAATCTAGCGACCATGCTCGTCCGAACTGCCATCTTCAAAGCAAATCACTAGGCTGTCTGCGAGCGGCTGTAACGACAACACTTACGTTGATAAGTGGGGTTTAACGTCCCAAAACCCCTATATGATCATGAGAGACGCCGTAGTGGAGGGCTCCGGAAATTTCGACCACCTAGGGTTCTTTAACGTGCACCCAAATCTGAGCACACGGGCCTGCAACATTTCCGCCACCATACAGCCGCCGCAGCCGGGATTTGAACCCGCAACTGCGTGTCGGCGGGTTAGCAGCCGAGTACCTTAGCCACTAGACCACTGCGGTGGGGCGACAACACGTACGTTTCCTCCGCCGTCGCTAGCCGCCTTGTTATTGACATGGTGCATTTATGGCTTCGTATATGTGAATTAGCCCCACACGTGCGCAAAAACGCCATTAACAACGCACGTGCACGAAGTATTACGTGCCCGGCTGTGCCCTCATCCGAAATGCATAGTCGCACTCCTCACTTCACCTCGTTCACCTGCTGGAGGCAATGTGATTGGCCGGCTTGTGTCACGTGATCCGTCCTCTGTCAAATCGCGCCACGCTCCCACTTTGAAGTCTGAGCGGTCGATTGATGATTTGTGGTGTTTAACGTCCCAAAACCACCATTTGATTATGAGAGACGCCGTAGTGGAGGGCTCCGGAAATTTTGACCACCTGGGGTTCTTTAACGTGCACCCAAATCTGAGTACACGGGCCAACAACATTTCCGCCTCCATCGGAAATGCAGCCGCCGCAGCCGGGAATCGAACCCGCGACCTACGGGTCAGCAGCCGAGTACCTTAGCCACTAGACCACCGCGGCGGGGCAAGTCTGAGCGGTCGAAAGCGCTCCTAGTCAGAGGCCTACGCTCTGAAAGAGCGAACCGAAGGTAGTCTCAGCGCTCAAATTCTACCAATCAAAGCCGCACTCACTTTTCACAGCAGTCTAGAGTGCTCGAAAACGCCCAACCTAATACGCTATTAGCAAGGCATTTGATAAAGTTATCTTCATAAACTAATTATGAATCTCAGGGACATCAATGTACTTAACATACTCAATGCCCAGAAAAAACACTATTTAACAGAACTTTGACAGTTTGTTTCCGCAGATTGGAACAATTTGAGCTCTCTTCATCTAACATCAAGCGTGCCACAGGGTAGTGTTCTAGGACTGCTATCATTTTTATTTTACGTAAACGTAATTTTAACGTAGTACTACTAGGAACTCAAATCACAGTGTTCGCAGAATATTGTGCACTCTTTTGTAAAGCTTCTTGATGTAATGATATACAGAACCTAAACTTAAGTGTTAATTATGTACTAAACTGGTGTAGTGGCAACAGTATGGCACTTAGAGAGAGAGAGAACAGTAAACGTTTACTTTGAAACAGTGCCCCGAGCAATGCCCGGTGTCACCCTGAGGTGGGAGGGCTCCTTAGTCCAGGAACCCTCTGGCTTCTACTGCCCTCTTGGCCCTGGTATGGCACTTAACAACAAAAATAACTATCTTTGTATGCCTCATTCAGAAATACCCTATCATTTTACTAACGACCTCGGCTCGTCATCACTACAAGAGATAAACAACTACAAATATCTAGGCATAGAAATACCAAATGACCTGTCTTGGAACTTGACATAGATACCGTATGTTCAGCTGCCTTCTGTAACCTGTGTTTTCTAAAACACAAACGTAGAAAATGTTCTTTTAACAGAAAACTACTTATTTACTTTACGAACGTGAGACTAAAACTAGAATACTCTTCCATTGCATTGGACGCCTTCACCTACATATAACACTAAAAATCATGGAGCAGTACAGAGAAAGGTTGTTAGGTTTGCTACGGACTGACCAACGGAACTCATGACTTAACAACTATGGAAACATTTTCATTACGACTAAAGAGGACCCACCTGAACTTTCTCTATCTTCTTGTTAATCATTTAGCCCCTGACTCGCACGCATATGTATCTCCTCTGTCCATTAGGCATATGAGTCAACATCACGCCCGTTCTTTAACCCCGTGTTCTCCGAAAACCAAACGTGTTTAGTTTTCCTGTTTACCTCGTACCGTATCAAAGGGGAACTGTTTAACTGATCTCAGCCAATTTTCTGTTGTTTAGAACTACAATATGCACTGTTAATTTGTGTTATGCTTCCATTTTATGCAACATTTCGGCATGTTATATCTGTTCTGTTAGTACGCGCTTTTATTCTATTTCTCGTGATATATTATTACGTTATCACGTGTGTTTTTGTTTATATCGCGCCTCTTGTGCCTGTCCTGCTTGGAACAGTTCTTGATTGGCAATATTCAATAAGTAAATGAACATAATGATAGAATAAATTTGTCGATTTTTGATCGGTCTTATCCCGATTTTCATGACCTAATACAGAATGAAATAAAATCACACAAAGAGAGATGAGCCACACCTGTTGTCCTTATACCACATGAATATTTATGCAGGTTAAACCCAGTGCTTTCCGGCGTGTTCCGAAAACTGGACCATGATGTTGTCATGTCCGGCTACACAATTCCAGCAGGTGTGAGTAGAAATTGCTTGAAATAGGTAAATTCTTTGTTGCTCAGTCCAGTGTTTAACACGTTCTCAATGTACAGAAGGTAAGACCTTCTGCGTTGTCAGTTTCCCCAATTTCTTATGGAGAAACTAGCTGCCAGGCATACTGGCTATGCCACCCGGCATAGCAGAAGGGTAATGTAGAATATTATTTAAGAAATTACATTGGCATGCCCTGTACAAGGCACTTATGCGTGCACATAGGTTGAAGGGGGCGAAGGGTGGTGTGACATCTCTTACATTACCTAGAAAGGAAGGGGTGCCAGCTGCTACCCCAAACATTTACTTAATTATAGGGAGGTGCCCGTGATAATTACTTTCCCCTTATCTCATTCCCCCTTCCCCTAATGAATACAATGCTCGAGGTTATGACTGGAAAACTCTTGTCAGCTCTGCAGTGTCAGCTCCTGTCAGCGTCGAAGCTCTGCGTGGTGAACAAACTTCTGATGGATGTCAAGTTAACTTGTAATGGGTAAACTAATGTACTATTTATATGTCAGGATGATTGGGTACGAAGTGAGAAAGTCATTATGGTTATTCAGCATGCAATAGTGGCAGGCTGAATTTCACAAAAGAACGTAGAAGGTTACATGAATAAATCAAAACCTGTGTAAGTTCTTGCAAGGAGAAGAGCACGCGCACGATATCTCATAAAACATACGTAATTTGGTAAAGGTGAACTTTTTAGTACTTGCGGGATAAAAACAGTAATTCACAGATGTATTTTCTTGAATAGTTAATGCAAAATGCATAAAATGTGGTGAATGAACTTTTCAGACTCCAGTGTTTACGGAAAACTACGTCGCGAGTCAGCTGGAGGAGAACTTCACCAATGCCCATGCCTTCCTCCCTGAGCGCTGGCTCAAGTCCGAAGAGCAGCGTGATGACTGGACCCTTCACCCGTACGCCTCTTTACCGTTCAGCTTCGGCCCACGGATGTGTCTTGGCCGAAGAATGGCCGAACTGGAAGTTTGGATTCTCCTTGTAAAGGTGAGAAAAAGCAATGTCTGGTATTTTAGGTGATGAAAGCCATGGTGTCAATGTGGAACGTGCTCTCATATTCTGAATGAAATGCGCTTCCCCGCAGTGGTCTAGTGGCTAAGGTACTCGGCTACTGACCCGCAGGTCGCGGGTTCGAATCCCGGCGGCGGCGGCTGCATTTCCGATGGAGGCGGAAATGTTGTAGGCTCGTGTGCTCAGACTTGGATGCACGTTAAAGAACGCCAGCTTGTCGAAATCCCCGGAGTCCTATACTACGGCGTCTCTCATAATCATATGGTTGTTTCGAGGACGTTAAACCTTATTAATCTGAATGAAATGTGTAGCCTTGCCACCTGCGGAGAGTCTATAGGTAGTGAACATACCAACATATGCCAACAAACACTCTGCTTTGTATACTGACAGTCGGAATTTGATTCAACTCGCATCTTTAGATTGAGTGACTTCATGGACGTTTCAAACAAAGCTGTCCAAATGAACAAAGTTTCCTTATACACAGGGCGAGTGTCGCGCAGCGTTACAGTCACACAGAGTTCAGCCTAAATTGAAGAAACGCCGACACGTTCAAACAGTTTGCAGCTCCAAACTTCCTCAGCGTGCCCAAACAAGTGATTCCGCTAGTGAATGTAGGTTTTCACAACCACCGCCACACCTATGCCCTACCAGTGAGTGGCCTTCGAGATAAGCTCTGGTAACGCGGCGATGATCGGGTGACAGTCAAAGATGACAGGGACGCCGGCAATGCATCCTATCGAAATGCTGGTTTTCAAACTAAGATAACCATGGTATTTAAAAAAAAATACTTGGTTGTTCAAAGAAGTTTGTGGCGAAATAGTTCAGAGCATGGTTCGCAGATACAGCTTCCTGTTTCTTACGACATCAGCAAGAAAATGTCGTGATAAAGACACGCCGACTGAAATATCTGCTGAATGTGCGCTTCGACACTATCTCGTTAATAATGGGGCATGATATGCTTCGAAACGAGGTCTACAGATAAAAACTAAAAACGACAGAAAGGCAAAGAGGCGGACACATTCTAAATTTTGAATGAGGCAACCTACCATTATGGTAATTAGGGGAATTCGCGTGCTAAGCAGCACTACTTCCGTGAAATCTTCGTGACATTTTTCAGCCTGGCAACTGAGCTCTCTCTCTCCCTACACATGAACACATAAAGATATCACGTGCCACAGGCTAATGTATTCATTGCTTATTCATTTCTCTCTGCAGCTGTTGTCAAAGTACAAGATTGAGTACCATTACGAAGACATTGGATTCGTCGGAAAACTGGCCAATGCACCGGACAAGCCGGCAAGGTTCCGATTCATTGAACTCAAGCCAGAATGCTGAATTTAGTGCTCTAAACAATTTAGTTAAATTACCAGTATTCTATTTTTGTTTGAATTCTGCCATCCTCAGGAAAGTGTCCCTGCCATGCCATTTACGACGACTACCATTATCTCTTGAGGAAATAAAATTGAAAAGTAGCCGCACGCGAAATAACATGAAGAGAAGAAAACAGCATTGGAAGCAGGATAAGTATGTAAACCGGATGTATGGCTGTAGAAAAAATATTGATATGTTGGGGATATAAATTGAGCATTCAACTTTTGAAGTTTGGTTTGAGCGCTAAGAAAGGAAATCGGCTATGTTTTGGTTTTACAAAACTTTGCCACATGATTATTTGATACGTGTAAAATAGTCGTCTAACGAACAATGAACAGCGTGCTTTTCCTCAGAGTTTCCTAATATCTATTTCATTAGAACGCTTCATAATATTATTATTGTGAAGACGATAGGTACATTAGATACTTATTTACAAAGGAATGTTCTTTTATACAGAGATGGTTAAAGAGCCACACGGGCAAGCGTGCCACACAAACTGATGGTCTTGGTCACTTTAAAGGGCTCTGTACAGATCTATGTTCGCGTGGCCCCTTAACAATATTATTCGCCAAATATTGCGGGGCCTTCAGAAAACATCATTTGCTATCTTAAACTGATATCTCAGTGACCACCTTAGACAGCTGCTGTACCTAAACCAGCTTACAGAGTTTGTGAATTATGTAAATTGTACCCTCCATTTTATGGAAAACACAATTATCGGCACACATCCTGAATGAGCCTGAACACGGAATGCGAAGTTAACGGGCGCACTCTCGCTTCTGCACTCGTATTCGTGCTTCTTAAGAACGCTGGCCTGCGGGCGTCATGATGCTTGCTACAGTGGTTATCATTCTCAGCCACGGCGTGTATGAGGCGTTTTTTTTCTTCTAAAAGATTCGAATGCACTTTAACTGATCTTGAGAAAAAAAAACGTGCTTTTCTCTACTGACAATATAGTCAGGCCTTCCTATGCAACTTTTTGCCGGCATGTTCCCCTCCCCTAAATACAACAAATATATATTTTGGCTCAAGTCTACATCGCCCAATATCGTCAATACTGAAGAGTGAAGTTTTTATTTGGCTCATAGAGATTGCGACATTGCAGTTAGGCATTACTTAGCTAATAAAATAAGTGTAAGACGATTAAAATGTACGATATAGCGATATATTGCGATACAATTATTCTCATACTTGTACTTCCGTTGGGGCCGGGCTTCACCGCTTGGGCGTAATGGCGATTACTAGACTGGAAAATCGAGTGGTGCTATCTGGGGAAAGGCGCACTATTCTGGACTGTCAGCAGTGTCTGCTTGTGCTTGTCATATATTGAGACCTTGAAATTGTTCCAGTTCATTTGTTTGCCACGTCATTTCGAACCACGTTTCTTTTCTATTTTAAGATATAGATAAGTGCCTAATATCGGCATTTCATGCGTATGTTATTCTAAATATAGCATGTTAAAGTGAACGGAGGACATGGTACTGTAGCGCTAAAGTCAACAATAATAACTAAGAGGCAAAAAAGGCAGGAAAGTCACCCGCTTACTCTGTATAATTGAGTTTTGTCATCGAACACCATGTGCTTCAGTAAGTGCCACATCGCCTTACAAAAACGTAATTGTGGAACGAAAACACGATGACAAAGCAACTGGAACAGGAATAAACTTTTGGAGTGAGACCATGTTCGTTGTTTTCATCACCATTCGTGGCGCGGCGCTGGTTTAATAGATGCGGCTCAGGCCTATTGAAACACTTGGAATGTTTTGCTCGATATTGACTAAAACTGCCTTTTTGACTCGATGTCACAATAAAAAAATGACCCATTTTAAATACAACTGTTCGAAAAGCTCAAGATATTTAGGTGCTTTACGGTACCTTGAAATTTAGCCTGCCTTGGGTGCCACCACCGTGTCATCTTAGCAAAGCGTTGGAAACTCTTGCCTTTTTGAGCGTCGCGTTACTTTGTCAGTGCAGCGTGATAAACGCTACAGTCCTTGGAATAACTTATGTGTGCCTTCTCTATTATACAGAGACACATACAAAATACTGACGTGTTATGGGGCCTCATATATGCGCAATTATTGCTTTTAAATTGACAATGGCAGAAGTATGAACGCTGAAACTTGAGCAATATTGGTGGACGCTGTGGATGGGGTTGGCCTTTTGGGGTATCACTTTGTGCCGTTTTGGGTATTGTTACGGCGGAAAAACAGACAACTGTACAGACAGACCAAAATTTTTGAGTCGAAGTATACTTCAAGAAAGACTATCGTTTTTAAAAGCCACCCACATCTTCCCCCGGGGGAAACTTGAGTAAATGCGTCGCAGAAGGGGGGGGGGGGTATATCGTGGATGTTGCGTAATTGGGTATGGTTTGGGACTTACCAGGTGGCGTTCATCTCGAGTAAGTGTGCTGGTAGAGGTGGGTAACAGTAACCGTAGGTCACGCTCATCGACGGTACGTGCCGACGTACCAACGAGTCCTTACACGATGCGCACACCAAGTACGACTTGAACGGCTCCAGCAGTCTCTCGTCGTCATTGTTGTCGCTTTTAACGTTGTCGTTGACGCCGCCACTCTTCAAGTCGACGTTGCTAAACGTGCTCCAAAGAACCCGCAGCGCGTTAGCCTGCTTCGCTTTGTTCTTGATGCTGCCGACCAGCGTAAGGTCGTTGTCGAAACACAGTCAGTTGCACACCTTACAGCTGTGTCCAAAGCTGTGGTCTTCGAAGTCGCGTTTAAAACGAGCGGCTGGCTGCGCAAACTGCTTGGCTCACCCCGCCGCTTTCACAGCGCGCTAGCTTTCACAAGCAGCTTCCGGAGCCGCCTCTCGTTGACGACGTTTACACGCCACTTCTCGCTCACGTGCCTCTGGTCTTAAAGCTCACTGCTCACGTTGCGCCACTGGATCTCGTGCACGAAGTTCGGAATCCTCAGCTCAGTGATGGCATTTCGCAGCTAGTTCTCGTTCCGCGAGTGGAGGATCCACAGCTCGCTTCAATTGCTTGCGTTCAGTGTCGCACACTTGTCTTTTCGCAGTCTTGTCGTCTGCGTTACTTGCTGTTGTTGATGCTGAAGACAGTGAGGGTGGGGTGACATTGGCTTGAACGAGTGGTGGGACGATAAGGCTGGGTTGTGCCCCTGTACTGGTTGAAGGTACAGTTGCTATCTGTTGATTCCATCGTATCTACTCGTGTCAAGCTAAGCGTAAAGTCTAGCAAAAGAGGGGGAGGGAAAGGTGATGAAAGGGGAGAGAGGGAGAGGAGACGAGCTGAGCATGCGCAGTGCAAATGTGGACGCCGACGACAAGTAACTTGGTGCGACTAAGAAATGCTTCACATTTAAAAATAATTAAGTGTACTTTTCATGCCACATACCTGTGTTGATACGATGCTCTGCGTTCCAGTCATCGTGAACTCGAAGGCGTGTTTTCTTACGTGTGCACATTATTCGTTACACTTGCACACAAGAGTGGGGGACTCAATGCAAAAAGGTTCACCACAGTTTTACGAATAGAGTATTTATTATTCACGGTATGTTGTGCAAAGCCACAAAAAATTCATACAGGGGACAGTACGGCAGTCTTCTATAACAGTCAACAAAACCTTTTGGATTGGGCTAAACTACTAATGACAGTGGTGCTATACACTGGTTGTAACACAGAATGAGCTTTACTACAGCGTTAACTTTCGCAAAAAAAAAACGAGTTGAATTTTGGCTGTATTTCATGGTTCATGCTAGGGACACAATTCGGCTTCTTTTCTGTGCTTCTATTTCGGCTGACTGATGACTGCACAAGCATTACTGAGTGTACTGTTGCACTCTAGACAAGCACGTAAGAAGGCGGTTTTACAATCTAATTCGATGTCCTGCAGCTATTATTTTTATGGTTTTAATGCGTGGGTGCATTCGACGACCGGCGCCATCATGTGCGCCAACTCTTTTGGCTACCAACACCTCTGCTAGAAATACAACGCAAGCAAGACCACTGCCCAGCACAATGAGTAAGAAGACAGAGCGGTGATGGTCGAAATCTAGTGTCTCTGCCTCTCCCTGCTGAACCTTGGGACAACGCGAGAAGTCCGCTCCCAAAGAGACCGTGTCGTGGTGCCACTTGCTCACTACGCCAGCCTCGTCCAACCACTTGACCCTGAGCCAAATATAAAAATTACAAAAAGTGTGTGTTACCATTATGTCCCTTGTAATTATCAAAGAAATCTCACCGTACGCCTAGTTATTTCCCGATTAGCGTGAGCGAAATTAAGCAAATACTTTTCCGGCTTCGTATAGATCACAATTTCAAAGAATCGCCCCTTTCGAATCTCCGGCTTCTGGCATTATATTTAAGGATATGTGCGTGCTAAAATAAACATAAAATGGTGCATTTACCTATTGCATCATTATTTCTTATGCAACGTATTTTCACATTAAAGATATTGCACAGCGCTGTTAACTTTAGTACCACGAATAACTATAAAAATGAAAGAAAACGGTGAAAACATTTTATGTTCTCGCAACTAATGACATTGTGTTTCAAATCGGTGTGGCGAACTTGAAATTTTAATGTCCGAATTATATTGTGATCACCATACTTTTTCTTGTTTGTCAACTATTCCTTACATCACGTACCCAAAGCATTGGATCACGAGCGACATTGCTCTGACAACGCAAATATGGTGACAAATTGCAAGATATTCTGTAAACTTAAACTGTGCTAGGGACGAGACACCAGTGCGAAAACAGACACGATCTGCGTTTGTGCTGTCTTCTTTGTAGTCTGGTGCCTGGGCAGTATACGAAATATATTTTACCAACAAGCCTCTCAGCTCACGCTACTCGAATTCACTGAGAAGATTTGAAGATTAACATCTGGGGCTTCAAGTTCCGAAAGCATGACATGATGGTGAGAGACCCCTTAGTGGAGGGCTCCCAAAAAATTTCCACCATGTGGTGTTCTTTAACGTTCCCTGACACTGCACAGTATACTGGCCTCTACAGCACTTCACCTTCATCGAAATGTGACCGCTGCTGTTAGAATCGAACTTGCAACCTTTGGACCAGTAGCCGAGCAGCAAAACCACCACTCTACCTCGGCAGACTTCCCTTAGAAGATTACTGTGAGCGCTGTTGTCCGCGGTAGTTCACAGGCCACCACCTACCGTTTTCCCCACTTTTTCATCAACTTCGCCACTGCACTCCGCCTCCGGCTGTAGTAGACGACCAGTGGATTTAAGAAGAATCGGTGCCGGGCAATGTAGAATTCATGGTCAGGGTAAAGCTTGCATAGATATGCCAGCTTATACATAGCCGTTGTACGATCGCTGAGCACAACCGCCCTCCCCGCCGCTACTT